CACACACACACACACACACTCATACACTCGCTCACACTCACACAGACACACACACTCACACACACACACACACACACACTCATACACATAGACACACACTCATACACACACTAAACCCCACATTCGCGGCTCATACGTGTGTGTTTGTACTGCAGGTGGGCGGTGTGTGTGAGTGTCAGCACAACACGGCTGGCGTGAACTGTGAGCGATGTGACGACCTCCACAATGACCTTCCCTGGAGACCTGCGGAGAACGGAAACACACACACCTGCAAACGTACGGCTGCTCACACACACTGCACTGCATGTGACGATTCAGCGGCCAGTGTTGGGAGTAACGCATTACCACACACACACACACACACACACACACTCACACACACACATGATGATGATGCTGATGCTGATGAAGGTGTGTGTGTGTCGCAGGCTGTCTGTGTAGCGCGGCTGGCTCTTTGAACGGCGGTCAGTATGACGCTCAGACGGGAGCGTGTGTGTGTAAACCAAACGTTGAAGGCGAACGCTGTGACCGATGCAAAGCTGGATACTACAACCTCAACGCCAACAACCCTCTGGGCTGCTCCAGTGAGTCTCCCCTGACCCTTGACCCCTGACCTCAAGCAGAGAGATAGTCTGTTCCAGTTACACACACACACACTCACACACATACACTAACACACACACACACAATCACACACACACTCACACACACTCTCTCTCACACACACACCCACACACTCACACAATCACACGAACGCTGTGACCGATGCAAAGCTGGATACTACAACCTCCCAACCAACAACCCTCTGGGCTGCTCCAGTGAGTCTCCCCTGACCCTTGACCCCTGACCTCAAGCAGAGAGATAGTCTGTTCCAGTTATTAAGCATTCAAATAAACTAAACAAAAAAACACTGAAATTGATCAATTTTAAATAAATAAAAACGAATTATTGAAAATATGTAAAATATTAAATAATATAAAATTAATATTATTTCATTATTTAATGAAATATATAAAAAATATTACATTATATTAAACAAAAGCAAAACAGATACATATTAAATGATGAAAAAATAATGATAATAAATAAAAGTAAAAAAGATGCTAAAGTAAAAGATGAAGTGAATGTATTCCAACTGTGTTTTTCATGTGTGTGTGTGTGTAGAGTGCTCTTGTAGTCCAGACAGCTCTGTCAGCGGTGTGTGTGATCAGCTGACGGGTCAGTGCGAGTGTCGCCCTCATGTGGAGGGTTTGTCATGTGACCGCTGTGCTGTGGGTTACTGGAACCCGTCATCGCCCTACGGCTGCCAGCCGTGTAACTGTGACCCCGTCAACGCCCGCAGCGCCACCTGTGACCAGGTACATGCAATCACACACATGGTCACATGACCACACATACATCACATGATCACATGTCCACACACACCATCACGTGATCACATGACCACACACACCATCACGTGATCACATGACCACACACACATCACACGATCACATGATCACATACACCATCACATGACCACATACATCACATGACCACACACATCATCACATGATCACATGACCACACACACCATCACATGACCACACACCATCATATGATCACATGACCACACACACCATCACGTGATCACATGACCACACACACATCACACGATCACATGATCACATACACCATCACATGACCACATACATCACATGACCACACACACATCACATGATCACATGATCACATACACCATCACATGATCACATGACATCATCACATGATCACATGACCGCACACACCATCACATGATCACATGACCACACACCATCATATGATCACATGACCACACACACCATCACATGACCCCACATACATCATACTAGGTGCGTTCGACTTGAAGCACGGCTACAGACGGCAGTCAACGAGAGTAGCCGTTTGCAGTCGGGGGCGGAATTGAAAACGGAGCCGTCAAGCCGGACACTTTCTGCTCCCGTTAGTGACGCTCGCGCGGTGTTTGCATACTCTATCACAGATTAAGTGAATTAAATGCAATTATTTGTCAAATATACAGACGTTTCAGAAACGTTTTCATGAGCAACAGAAATATACTGATTATATACGGCTTAATACATCGCCATCTGTTAAAGTTCAACGTAAATATATACTATTTAAATACTAATAAAGTGGGGGAATATATGCTTTCATCAGTGTTTTATGATAAACGTGACTCAATATAATATTGCAACTACAGTAAAAAAAGCTTTTACTGTTCTAAAAACACAGATTTGTGGCTATTATTGGAATTGAAAAGGTTAGAATAAACCCGAAACACGCGTGATCGTTGTCATGCGGTGAATCTGGCCAATCGTGAAACGGCTGTGTCGTCATCAACGCTACTGCAGTCGCTCTGGAGAAACTATCGGAACGCTCTCGCGGTGCTTTGATGCCACACATGACAGTGACGTGGCGTCGGCGCCGTCTCAAGTCGGACAAAATTACTAACCGGCATGCACTGCTTCAAGTCAGATTGCAATCGGTCTGTGCAGTGCTGCATGAAGTCGAACGCACCTATTATCACACACCATCACATGATCACATGATGTGATTCTTACGTGTGTTTCCTGTGGTTCAGCGCACAGGTCAGTGTCTGTGTCGCCCGGGCATCGGGGGCCGGACCTGCAGCGGTTGTCCTGACAACACGTACGGAGATCCTCTGATTGGCTGCAGACGTGAGTGTTTCCTGCCCACACAAACAAATTATGAATAAATAAATACACTTCAATTAAGCATAAAAAGTTAATAAAAACAATAAATCAATATTACAAGAATAAAAAAATCAATAATACAGAACGTTGATTGGTTTCTTGTTCTTTCCTCTCAGCGTGTGACTGCGACCCGTCGGGCACGGAGTCGGGCAGCTGTGACAAACGCACAGGCGCGTGTCTCTGTAAACCGGGCGTAACCGGCGCCCGCTGCGACGCCTGCAGCCGTGGCTACTGCGCCAGTTTCCCAGAATGCCCAGCGTGTCCGTCCTGCTTCTTCAGCATGAATGGGCATCTGCAGCAGCTCACGCTGACGCTGGAGCGACTCTCGAACCAGCTGATCCTGTCCGGCGGCAGACCGACCTCCAGCGACGCCAGCCACAGGATCCGCACGCTGATGGATGCCCTGAGACGCCTGCAGGAGACCGTGAGCGTCCCGCCGCAGTCCAGCCGCGCACTGACTGACGCCCTGCAGAGACTCAACCAGATCAGGTACAACATCACCATCAGACCGACTCGCTGCTCACTGACCATCTGTCAAAATTATCACAGTAAAGAACAATTAAGAATTCTCAAATATGAAATAGTCAAAATAAGAGACCAAATAATAAATAATACTTAAAATATATGTATACATATATGTATATACACACGTAAATATTAAATGAATAATAAATTAATAAATATGACATTGGCGATATAAAAATGTTTAAATTGTAAACATTAAATCTAAATGTTATAAGTAAATATTAAATTAAATGCAAAATTAAATGTAAGTATTATAAGTAATTATAATAAGCAATTATGAGAAATAAAGTCTCAGTTAAGAGTAATATAAATTCCAAAATTATGAAAAAGTCAACATTTTGAGAAATAAAATTGCAGTTGGGAAATATAAAGCCGATTATCGGTGCCGATATTAAGCATTTTTATGGTTATCGGGATTGGTGATTTTCAAAACCGATTTGCCGATAAATTAATTGAAAGGCATTTAAATAATTTTTTGTCAGATTTTTTTTTTGTCAAGGTCTTGTTATTCTTAATTTTGACATTAGTTTTCATTTTTACACCAGACATATATATCGTTTTAAAATATTGGTTATCGGTCTACTTGATCTGTAATAATCGGCATCGGCTGTAAGTATTATAAGTAATTATAATAAGCAATTATGAGAAATAAAGTCTCAGTTAAGAGTAATATAAATTCCAAAATTATGAAAAAGTCAACATTTTGAGAAATAAAATTGCAGTTGGGAAATATAAAGCCGATTATCGGTGCCGATATTAAGCATTTTTATGGTTATCGGGATTGGTGATTTTCAAAACCGATTTGCCGATAAATTAATTGAAAGGCATTTAAATAATTTTTTGTCAGATTTTTTTTTTGTCAAGGTCTTGTTATTCTTAATTTTGACATTAGTTTTCATTTTTACACCAGACATATATATCGGTTTAAAATATTGGTTATCAGTCTACTTGATCTGTAATAATCGGCATCGGCCCTGAAAACGACATATCGGTCGACCCCTAATAAAGATGTCAACATTGAGACCAAATGGTAATAAATTTAATTAAATTTCACATAGAAATATTAAATAAAACATAAATGAATAAAAATTTAATATAAATGGCTAAATTGTGGGAAAATAAAGTTAAAATTATGAAAAAGTCAAAATTGACACTTAATAATAATAATAATAATAATAATAAATAATTTTAAACTGCACTTTTACAAATTAAATAAATAATAGATTAACAAACCATGACAAATAATAAATATTAAATTGCAATAACTAAATATTAAATATTAAATAATGAAATATGAATATTATATATTATAAATAGGTAAATATTAAATGAATACAAATAGAGTAATACAAATTAAATTAAGAAACAAATATAACAGCCAAAATTATTAAAAAGATAAATAAAAAAGCTAAAAGTATGAGTAAAATGATAAAAAAATAAAATCACAATTGGGAAATATAAAAATGCAATTATGAGAAACAGAAAAAGTCAAATTATGAAAAAAGAATAATTATAAGTAATAATAATAATTAAACGAATAATAAAACATGAAATTATCAAGCTAAATAAAACTATTTATTAAATGTTAACATTACTAGAACTTTATAATAAACCTAAAAATTATATTTAAAAAAAAAAAGTCCAAATAGAAATTGTGAAATTTAAAGATGCAGTTTGCAGTGAAAATTAGGAGAAATAAAAAATTTTTCTAAATAATGAGAATTTGAGACATAAAGTAAGTGTACAAAAGCAAAATGAAACTGCGTAAACTGATGTGTATAAATGACAACAGAGTTCAACTCTTTCTTCAGACTGAAGCTGCATTGCGAGTGAGTTGTGTTTGTTTAAACACTCTTGCAGGTCTCAGCTGAATGGTTTGACTGAGGATCTGGCATCGCAGCCGAGGGACGGTGATATTGATCGCAGTCTGGACGACCTGCAGGCACTTCTGTCGTCTCTGCGTCTGGAATATTTCACCAAGAGAGACGCTTTCACTAACACCGCTGGATCCAACAACGCCAGTGCGTGTGCAGCGCCCATCTTTATTAGCGTCAGATTCCTCAGTATGACCTCTAATGAAAAACCTCTCATTCTCAGGCACCTTCTACGCCATCCAGAAGTCGTACGAAAAGTCGACAGACGCCGTCAAACGAGCCGACGCTGCTAAAGACACGCTGAAGAAGTCAGAGGGCCTGCGTGAAAACGCCTTGAGTGACCTGAGAGACGTGCAGCCCGGAAACAATATAGACCTGGAGAAACTCAAGAAGGATCTGGCAACCCGGCCGAATCTGACGCCCACCGCAAACAAGGTGAGAGAGCTTGCACGTGATTGGCTGAGCAGAAGTGTTGGTTTTCCAGCAGATGGGGTCAGTAACGTTGTGTTCATTAGGTGTGCGGCGGCGATCGCGTGGATTCCTGCACTCCGGAGCGCTGTGCTGGCGATCTGTGTCCTCCTGATGGAACGCCCCCTTGTGGAGCGGAGGAGCCCTGCGCCGGAGCGCTGCCCAACGCCAACAAAGCCTTCCAGAACGCCGACGAGGTGAAGGCCAAACTACAGGATCTCAACAACAAGATCACGCAAGCAGCTGCACAGGTACCACAACACATTCACAATAATTAAATTAAAAATAAGAAAATTATAATATTATAAAGAAACAAAATGTATTAAATTAAAAGTCAAAATTACGAGAAATAAAAAAAAGTTATGGAAAATATGAAAAAGTCCAAATATAGACCTAATAATTATTAACTAAAATTAAATTGCACATATAAATATTAAACAAATAATAATGAATCAAATGTGACATAAATAAATAAATAGAAAACATCTTTTTTTAAAAAGCCAGAATTATGAGAAATAAAATTGCAATTTGGAAATATAAAGAAATTATGAGAAATAAATATTCAAAATAAAGCCTTTTTTTTTAAAGTCATGATTATAAAAAAATATCGAAACTGAAATATTACAAATAATAGCAAATAAGTAATAAAAGTAAATTCATAAAAAATCTAAAAGACAAACATTACATATAAATATAATAATATTCTAAATATAATTTAGAATATTATAATCTTTAAATATTAAAATAGGGCAAAATTATGAAAAGGACACAATTACGGAAAATAAAATTGAAATAGTGAAATATAAAGATGGTACGACCACACACAACTAGCTAGTAAGACTAATTAGACTAGTCAATTAAAATTTTACAATGACTTTAAACCAAACACACCTTCTGAAACACAGATACAGGAAGCTGAAGATTCGGCCAATAGGGTGAGACTGTCCACAGATGAGCTGGCCAATCAGATCAAGCAGGTGCAAGCCGACGTGGATGAAGACCTGAAGGACACCAAAGACTTCATAAACAATCTCAGAGACTTCCTGTCAGGTGGGTTTTTACTTTACTTTGCCATACTGCACACTGCCAAGTATATACTATGAATGTTTTAGTCTCTGGAAGCGGTTCGGCAGTCGTTCACACTGGAGTCGGCTGTTGTTTTGTGTCTCAGAGCCTCATTCAGACCCGGATGAGGTGCAGCGGGTGTGCGAGGCCGTTCTGGATGCTCAGGTTCCTCTGAGCGTGGAGAAGCTGAAGCAGAAGCTGAAGGAGCTGCAGGATCTGGCGTCTTCACTGCCAGACAGCAGCAGAGTCCTGGAGAACAGCAAAGAGCAGCTGGAGAACGCCAGACAGCTGCTGGAGGAGGCTAACAACACACGGTACACAGCACACGCTAACGACATACTAACAGCACACGGTACACAACACACGCTAACAACACACGGTACACAACACACGCTAACAACACACGGTACACAGCACACGCTAACGACATACTAACAGCACACGGTACACAACACACGCTAACAACACACGGTACACAACACACGCTAACAACACACGGTACACAGCACACGCTAACGACATACTAACAGCACACGGTACACAACACACGCTAACAACACACGGTACACAACACACGCTAACAACACACGGTACACAACACACGCTAACAACACAAGGTACAAAGCACACGCTAACAACACACGGTACACAACACACGCTAACAACACACGGTACACAGCACACGCTAACGACATACTAACAGCACACGGTACACAACACACGCTAACAACACAAGGTACAACGCACACGC